AATGGGAATGGCCCAGCATCTCAAAAACTCTGAGATGCCCAGGTCTGCCCAAGGTAACCGGCCTCTTACTAGAATTTGTCTTCTCACAACCAAAGCACTGACATCAGGTCAAGCTGGTTGGCCTGACTTTCTCTTCCCTGGGGATGAGTTTGTTTCCAAAAGTCTCCTCTGTCTCTCTTACAAGTTGACTTCCCCTACAGCCAACTGACCAAGCCTGAGAAAGCCAGGCCTGACGAAATTCCAGGGGGCCCAGTTTAAGCTTAACCCGGGAAAATAGCACTCAGTAGGAACATAGTTACAGTCACATCTTACATACTCACCACCTGCCCAGCTTTTATTTAGGAAAAAGGAGTTCACAGCTTTAAAAGTGTTTGGGAACAACTGCCTTAGAATGTTCATCTGCTGAGCCAAAGTGTGTATTTCCTAAATTCCAGACTGTGGCATCTTCAGAGGGGATGAAGGACCATCCTTTCAGCTGGGTCCCGTTCTTCATGTTCGGGGTCCCAGGGCCAGATAGTTCTGCAGTGCTGACCACCTGCACTCATACAGTAAATACTGTTCTTGGTTTCTGAACCTTTGGGCACATGGGGGTTAAGGGAAACTAAAGAGGCCTCTCTCCCCAGCCAACTGTTTGGATCATGAAATAAAGGAAGCCTGGGAGCTAAAGAAGAAGAAATCGGTATTGAATCTCCTGGGCCAGAGCCCACCCGGGTCAATTCTGGACTATCCTCTGTGTGACCTTGGGCCAATCACACATCCTCTGACCTCCGGTTTCCCTTGCGTGAGATGCTCTAGCCATCTAGTATCTCACATCACCTATATCTGTTGTCAACTCTAGGCACTAGAATTTCAAACTGAGCTTACTTCTGCCCTATAATAAGATGGATTGGACCATGTCCATGAAAGCTGAAAAAATTTACTAAAAATGCCACCAGTTTGAGTCACAGCTTATTGAAAATGAATTAAGTTCATTAGCTTCTAGTAGTTGGAACAAAGCATTCTTTTCAGTTAAAGAGGGTTAGTCAAGAAAGACCTGCCAAAATTTTTCATTGTGCACAGTAGCATCAAGGGAGTTCAACTGCAGAGCTTAGGGGGTTGTCTTTTGGCTGTTGTTTTTCAGTATCTCACATGATTTAATCACCTTGTCCCGAGTTACATAACTCATTCCTCTTTATGCTTTGATTTTTCCACCTAGGAATATAGAAAAGCTTGCTACCTTCAAATGCAGAAATATTATGATAATGTTGAGTATAATTTAAATACTCTGAATTTCTTAGATGAAAGCACCTATAGAAGTTTAAAATATAAAGAAGCCAAAGGAGTATTTGATAAATATTATCTCATTAAATCTCAACACTTTCATAAGATAGATGAAGATACAATCCCAGTATTAATGAATGGAGACTTCAAGTAACTTGTGAAAACCATACAGCAAGTCTGCACTATGAATTCATTTATACATATGTACGTATAATTGCTTTTGGGTGCCAAAAGACGTTTAAGACAAGTAAAGAAAATTTACAAAAGTAGGAAATAAAAGGTTTGCATTCATCTAAATGCATATTATATGTAGCACAAATCAAAGTTGTATTCATCTGACATTTTAAGGAAACATTTAGGCTTTCTCTTATATAGTAAAAGTTCATTTCAAATTAAATTTGAAAGATCATTTACGGTACTTATTCATTAATTGTTTCTTTACAACAACATAAATAGTTGCACTTTAAGTTGAATTTTGTGCATGTATCCAACTTTTGTAAATGTAAATACACATGATCTTTCTTCTGGATAATTGTGAACTTGTACAATAAAAGCTATTAAAAGCACATTGTACCTTCAAAGCCATATCAAAATAAACAGTCCATTTTTAATGGCTACTACAAAGGCCCTTCCTAGGCAGAGTTTCTTTTCATCTTCTTTGTGACAGTATCACTGACTCTATTTAGCCGGCCCTTTTGTTAACATCACCACCTCAGCTTGCTCTGCAGTCTACACTGTAGCTCATATTCCCAGGAATTTGGAGAAAATAACTTTGCAACTCTTTCCCTTTATCTCCAAATATAAATTTTCCTTGCCTCCTCTTAGGGAACTTGTGGGCCAGTTAGTAGTGAGTAGCAAGCACTCAAAGAAAAGAGTGCCTTTGCATAAGAGAGAGCAGACCATATTGAAAAATGATCCCAGATATTCTTTTTTTTCTAGACAGAGTTTTGCTCTGTCACCCAGACTGGAGTGCAGTGTCGCGATCTTAGCTCACTGTAACGTCCAAGCAATTCTTGTGCCTCAGCCTCTCGAGTAGCTGAGATTACAGGCATGTGCCACTATGACCAACTATTTTCTTTTTCTTCTGTATTTTTAGTAGAGATGGGGTTTCGACTCTGTTGGCCAGGCTTGTCTTGAACTCCTGGCCTCAAGTGATCTGCCCATCTCGGCCTCCCAAAGTGCTGGGATTACAGGCATGACCCAACACGCCCGGCCTCATTCTTGATGGGAAGTGAGAAAGCAAGAGAAACCTGAGCGCAAGACATGGAAGATGGAGGGCTTCTCCACTCCTGAAGAGGGCCGCTTCCTGCCTCGATCACAGGTTCAATTCCGCAAGATCAGACAAACCCGCAAGGCAAACATCAGTGTTAGGACCATTCCCAAGAGAAAGGCAAATAAATGTCTTTTGTATCATTTAATGTATTGGATTTTGCATGAAATTCCTATATGCTGCTTGGGAATGTAACATCTGATTAAGAAGACACAGCTGAGGAAAGTAGTAGGAAAGAGATTATTTGTGTTTGTTGTCATTTCATATTTCAAGTACTTTCAATTCCTTTCACCACATACTAAATGAACAGGAAGAGGCAGCAAAAAGTGCACAATGTGTTTGTGGAAACAGTAAATATGGAAGTGAAGAACAGCCTCTGATTTAGCAAAGATCACTGAAATGAATTAAAACTTTTCCAAATTTCACCTCCAGAAGGACAACACAGCAAACAAACCTCAGTTTGCAAGGCCAGTTTTAAAGAAGGCAGAACCCCGCAAAGCAAGCGTTTCAGTCTCTGAATAACGCTCAAATCCGTCACAAACGTGCTGGGAATTTAAAAAGGAAGTTTGTGTTCTCATTGATTACATAACTAATAATTTTATGAAGCCTGTTTAAAATACTGATTTTTAAAACAGTGGTTATAATGTCAACTGGTGATACAGCGTCCATTTGTGACAATAAATGAAAAAGTGTGGGCATGCGTGTGCCTGTGTGTGTTTACAAATGAGGCTATCTTTGCAGGAGGACCTCTCCAATATGAAAAAGATCCATACATTGTATTATGTAAACACAATCAAGGGGACCCATCATACCAGTGGTGGATGTGTAACCTGCATTTTCTTGGCACGCACCAAGACTTCGATCATCACAACATTACAGCTCCGAGCTATCTCACGTCCCACCAGATCCTGTCCCCTTCCCTCCACGCATGCAGCGTGTCCATATGCGCGCGCGCGGCGTGCACACACACACATACACACACACACACACACACACACACACACGACTTGGGAGGCGAGTTCAGCTTGCTCCTCTGCGGGTCACCTGAGCCCTGCAGGCTCACTTTACCTCTCGCCCAGGGAGGATGCCGGCTGCCGCTGGCTCGGTAGCTGCCCTCGGTCTCCACCGCTGTCCCCTTCTGGTTCAGCAGATTGGGGCCCTCCGTGTTTTCAACAGGTACCATGGTCACGTAGAAGTTACAGCCGCTCCCCCGCTACCAAACCGCCCCGACCACCTCCGCTGCCAGAAGTGGTCACTTTCCCCATAGTAGCACGCTAAAGAAGAGTGTGGGGAAAAACTTCGGGCAAAGCTAATGTGATTTGTGACCAACTTTGTTTCTATTTCCGAAGGCTTTGCCCTTTTCGGTGACACAGGCTGTTGCTATTCCAAGCAGCCTATCACAGGCAGGGGGAGGGCCGCGGGTCAGAGGATTGTTTTTGCCTTTAGATGCAGAGTGGGAAGCAAGGGGTTAAAAGAAAGGGAGCTCAGGCGCAGTGTTTGGCCATTAGCTAAGGGTAGCTCTTGTATTCTAGCACCTTTGAAAAGAGGCAGAGAAAAGAAACATGCAGATTTAAATGCAAGCTGAGAGTGGGGATGGAATACTCACAGATGGTATCAGTTGATCTTGCAGAAAGAAGAACAATTTATGCAAAGACATACCAGAAAGAAAAGTGTGTCAATTTTTCAGCAAGACTGTTATTCCAAAAGCCATAGTATTTACCAGCTTACACAAAGCATAAAATACCTTTATTGTTTCAACCTGATTTTGATCTAGGTAAAAACCTATATCTTTCTCTCCAAGGCCTGTCAGATTAATCAAAGCCTGAGACCAAGAATACGCAAACTCAGAATACAAAGATTCTTTAGACTTTTTAATATCCTGAGGTTATAGCAAAGTAATCCATTTTTTAATGCAGAATTGTCTTTAAGAAATTAACACTGAATCTTCTGTTAGGTTTCATGTTTGCCTAGGTAGGAGGAGGATACTCCCTACTCAGAGAGGCCAGATTAAGTGGCCCATTGTGTGGATGTGGTGGTCTTGTAATCTGAAGAGCAATCAGGGCATGAGAGAGAGGATCTTTTTCTGATTTGTAAATATATTTATAAAAAATCTTACAGGGTTATGACATCCTATCTTCAGTTATTTATTCAGCAAATTATATTTATTAAAAAACCTTTTAGAGGAAATTGAGATCATCTTAAAAATCATTTGGAATAAAACCCAGCATGTATGGAGGGCTTATGTGCCAGAAATTGTGCTAAGCACAATAACTCAAATGATACCTTTGAGGCAGGACCAGCATTACAGAAGAGGAAATGGAGGTTGGGTAACTTGCCTATAATCTCACAGCTTAACAGTGGTAGAGCTGAGATTACGAATCCAGGAGGTCTGAAACTGTAACTCTCCTATATTCTAACTTCCCAGCCTTGTCCTCTGATTTTCTTGGCTTCGTACACTTTCAGATCTACTTGACTTTAAGAAGATGCCATGAAATATGGCTTTTAGTCCTAAGCATTTCTCTGGACAGGAAAACAAATTTGTGCTTGTTTAAGCAGAAGTTAATTTTTTGTTACTTCCTTTCAATGTTTTAACTGAATCACAGCAAAGCTCTAAATTCACTTATTTGTACATTTCCTTTGCTCATCACTAGATAGTCCTATTTTTTTTTTATCTTTCAGAGAATCAGATAGCAAATGGGAACAACCCTATAGTGATTCAACTAGTATTTATTATGCACCCACTGTATGTCTGCTGGTAGTGCTGGAAAATGGAAGTCCTCCAAGCATAATCCAGGCCCCTTCTGACTAAGAGGGTGAGAAGTTCAGAATCCCACACATCAGTTGTCCCCACTAAAGAATGTGTAATGCAACGATGGTTTTAAGCAACTCATTTGTTTGTTCCCAGGGTGCATTACGATTATATAGGAGCTCCAGTTTATATCTGTAAGACACATATATTTCCTATGAGTTCTCTATATTCTCTTGGCTTCTATCTTCTTTCTGCTCAGAACCAATGACCTCAGTGGTGGGAAAACGTTCTTGAAATGGGTTCGTTGTATCGTTGCTTTGTTTCGTGATCCCACGACCTGTGTCTCTAGCAGCTTCTTGGCTGCATGGGAGTGTTAGAGTGTTTGCTATAGTGCTTGACCAGGCAGAAGACAAACCTAATTCCAGAATACTTCACTATGGTTAAAAGCAGCTGAACAGTTCTTACTCGTTTTTTGTAGCTAAACTATACAGGAGCTCCACAGGCACAGTAAGTCCACCAGGTGTCAAAAGGAATATTCAGCAATGGAACTGCCGTCATCACCTCCTGGTGCTCATAATCTGTTCTTTATTCCCCTGGTGACCTGACCTGGGTCACTGACTATATCAAGCTCTGTTTCTATTTATCTCATTGTCTTAACTCAGAGAAAAGTTTAAGGGAGAAAATGTTTTTCAACCAGACTAGAGTGGGAAACTCTGCCTCAATTTTGTTAAGAACTCTGGACTTCTCCTTCCCAGTCTTTTGTACACTGTAGTGCATTCAATATAATTACATGCAGTGATTCGATTAAATCTGCCTTTTTTTTTTTTTTTTTTTTTTTGAGACGGAGTCTTGCTCTGTCACCCAGGCTGGATTGCAGTGGCACAATCTCAGCTCACTGTAGTCTCCGCCTCGAGTTCAAGTGATTCTCGGGCCTCAGCCTCCTGAGTAGCTGAGATTACAGGCGTGTGCTACCACACCCAGCTAATTCTTGTATTTTTTAGGAGAGACGGGGTTTCACTATGTTGGTCAGGTTGGTCTTGAACCCCGGATCTTGTGATCCGCCCATCTCGGCCTCCCAAAGTGCTGGGATTACAGATGTGAGCCACCGCTCCCGGCCATAAATCTGCCTTTTCTACTAGATTGCAAACTTTGTGAGAGTACGGACTATGTTTGTTTGGTTTATTATAGTATTCTGCATGCCTGGCACTCAGCAAATAGTAAGTATTTGCTGGCTAGCAGACTGATCCCTGTAAATTCAATCAACTTTAGCAATATTAGAATGTATGTTCCAAGAGGGCAGCCACCTATTTCTATCTTGCACATTTGTCCAGCTCCCAGCACGATGCCAGGCATGCAGTAGACACTTAATAAATATTTGTTAGATAAATGAATGCTCACAAATAGAGCTTTTAGTGAGCTAAATAACAACTTAGTTTTTAAATGTTAAAATTCATATAATAATTGCCTATAACATTTTGGCCCTCCTCTCTGCTTTCTGAATGCATATTTTCAATCGAGTTCAATACTTGCTTAGTTTTTGTTTTTTTTTTTTTGAGACAAAAAATTTCTAGATGCAACCGATTTTCTGATATTTTTTCACATAGGTTACCTTTGCTTGTTCTAAACCCTCATTCACATAATGGAACCATAGAGAATGCAGTTTTGTGCGAGGCTTCTTTCATTGAGCATAATTCTGATACCCATCCATGTTTTTATATATATTAGTAGTTTATTTTCTTTATGGGTGAATAGTGTTATATGGATGAACATGCCACAGTTTATCCATTTTCCTATTGATGGACATCTGGATTGTTTCCAATTTTTTGCTATTACAAATAAAACTGTTATGAGCATTCTTGCACAAGTCTTTTTTTGCAGAACATAACATTTCAGAGCACAGCAGTTCAAGTCCATCTGATTCCAAAACCCACATGTTTTTCACTACACCCTATTGCTTCTCCGCAGTGCACCCTGTTGCAGTACATTGATGTGGAATGAACCTTCTATGATGGCTCATTACAGCATAAACACAAATGGAGAAATACAATCTTTATGCAAACAAAAAAAATTCCAAGTACAAATTCACTTCTTGTTTAGACTTATTCCAATAAAATATTCATCTTAGTGTGATTGTTTGGGAGGATATTTATTATTTCACCTGTTTACACTATCTAAATAACTCCTCTATATGAAAGTTTTCATTATAACTTTTTCCTTGGATGTAGAATATTATCAATCATAACATGTTGATTAAAGTTCCTCAAATTACAAAGTCAGTATGGCTAAATTCATTATGGCATTCACTTGATATAATGTGATAAATCATTAAAAGAAAGGCAATGTAGCAATGCAAGAAATTGTTTTTTCAATGATTTTAAGTGGGGGAATCAAAGTGACACACAGAAAGTTGCATCCTCATTACTGTTACAATAATTTTTAAAACTATATGTGCCTATTGTTAGAGACTGGAAGGAAACTTGGAGCGACTGAAAATTATTAATAAGTTGGGCTGGTAAATCATGTGTAAAAAGTACTGTCTTAAAAGTTGTTTGCTTAATGTTTCTATCGTATTGTATATATAATAGATATAAATTTGAAGAAAAGTTCTTCATACTTATGGCTTCCATTTACCATTGTGCAATTTGGACACTGTACAACTCTAAGTGAGTCATTCTCATTTGCAGACTGAAGTTTGCTTATTTATAAAGCAAACTTTCCAGAATATGACAATACTAATGTCTTGAAGAAAAGGCAGCTTTTGCTCATTTGCTCAAAGGTACATTTGGACAACTGATGGAGCTGTTCAAATTATCGTCTCCCTTTAAATCATGCCAATGTCGTATCTGTTAGTTTGGCCTATGTCCTGTCTTCGTAGCCCAACTACATAGAAGGAGTACTGTTCTTCCTTTGATTCGATATTTTTCCAAATAAATTATTTTTAATTTAAAAATCTCCCTCAGTTCAATTGCCAGGCCCTTGGATAGAGGGCTTTAACAAAAAAGCTGTTCAATGATTAACCCTCTCCTTGAGATTAACCTGCCTTTGATACCACAAAGTCAGAAAAAGTTGCTTGTTCATACATGACTACACGCAGTAGTTATTGGTTTGGGGGTTCTGGTCCGCTTTCATTACATGTCAATGAGGACAGAAAATGACTACTTTCCAAGCTTAAATAATCTGAATAACCCAGGGAAATTTCGGAGCAGAAAGCCTACTGAAATGTGAAACCTCGTGCTCAGCTTCTTAAGATGAACTCACTACATTTCAGCGTGGGTGGACATGTTAGAGCTTGTCGTGGGCTTTTATTTTCTTCTAGGCTGCCGAGGACCTGAAGACCCTTCCTGTGTTGGGAATTCCCCCCTGCATGGAGGAACCCATCTCCTAAACAGAAGCTGGAAAGGCCTGAGACTTCCTTTTCTCACTTAAGACCAGGCTCTGCCAAGCAGTTCATACACCGTGGATTTTGCATCAGAAGCTGTGGCACAAAGTAGGAGGATCTACGAGACCCACATTCCACCGAGAATGGTCACAGTGGCTCTGGCCAAAATATTTAATGTCAGAGTTGCTAGATATATGCTGTTAGGTATGTGCTCAGGGTGGCTAGATTAGCCCAAAGCAGGGTTTGGGGAGTT